TGCGGGATCAGAACCATCTGAACTTTGCATCGTTACTTCGGACTGGAAGGCCGAACCTTGAATCCCAGCTGACCACGCGGGTGCTGCACACTCCGCTCATGGGTATAAAGAAAATTCATTGGAGAAGAACTTGTGTCAAATCTTGTCAGAACAGTATGAACAAATTGAACAAGTAGCAACATAAGCATCTACACATATCTGCACTGTCCGGTGACTCGGATGAAGCTTGAAGCCACTGACTCTGTATAGATACATGTCCTGTATGTGTTGCACACATCTGACTTGAGCAACCGGATGAGTTAGAAAGCACACCTCAAGCAAATCGTCATCACAATCACCACAAAGGCTAATGACTTGCCAAGTTTGCGAAGCACTGACTCAAGCAAAGGTTTGAGGGTGCAAAGTCAGTATGCAGGGATGTGGAAGCCACATCCTAATTAATCCATTTCTAGAGCAAACGTGACCTTCGAACGTAACCCACAAACTTCTATGAACAACTCAACCCGTGGGGGTTCTTTACAGCTTGTTTTACAGTACATCCTTTTACATCGAGATGGAGCACCTTCTTGCCCGTCGATGGAGCACGGAGGTGGAGATCTGCGCAGCGGAGACCTGTGCAGGTCGGTCTCAGGGAGACCCGTTCGACCAGCGCAGATCGGAGGTCGTGCAGTTGTTGAGAATGCTTTTGGATGACCCCGAGGTCGTGCATGTTCTTCTACGACCCCAAGTGGGAATTCTTAGAGAATCACTACATGTTTAATAGTTTGTTGATGTTTGTTGAATATGATCTGCATTATAGAACACGTTCTTTTCTTCGAGAATTCCTAGTTGCTAGTATAATATAGCTATTAGAAGAACACACCTCTGCCGAAGACGGGTCTTGATCCATTGGAGATCGACATGATCCATGTGTCTGGGCTTTGAGATTGGTATCCGGTCGATCTCAAGCAGCAGTTGACGGGGCATCACGGAATGAATTTCAACAGTGCATGAACAGCCTCTTTATACAATGGCCAAAGGTTCTCTTGCATACCAGATTGTTGATGATTTGGCAAAACATGGTGAACTGTTGTTCAAAAACCAAATCTTCCACTTGAGTGCATAGACTTTTGCTTTCAATCATGTGCGTCGAAGTCAGCCTTCAGCTCTGCAGCTGAATGCTTTCTCCTGAGCTCCCAAAGAAGGGTCAAAGGTGATAAACATGCTTAAAGATACAAAATTTAAGAATCATCTGGGTGGTGTTGATTGATGTTGATTCTTGCCATCTGGGTAAATCTATTAACTGAAAGTCGGACCCACTAAGATATTGTAAGATCATGGACAACCACCCAGAATCATCTCGGATGAAGGATTCAATAGCTGCGTTTGTTTAGGACTTGGCGTTTAAACTTAAGCTGCAACACAGTACCTGCTTCTTTGGGACCCACCATTGGACAATAGTCACAAGGACCAAGATGTGCTGTGCATAGCTATAATTAGCTCCTCTTCAGCACTCGGCCTGTGAAACAAGCTCGGCAAATGAGCGACTTATATGAATCATTTCGAGCTCCAGAAGAAAGCACAAGTCGCGAATCATCTGGGTGATCAATCTATTGTGCTTGCCTTAAACCAGCCTGAATCACATGAGCAATTGAAAAAGCATACCGTGCTTTCTTAGAGCCAGCAAGCAATCAATGGTCCATTCAACTAAGATCTGATATGCATATAAACGCTCTGGTTTGGAATGCTCTTGAGCCCTCAGCTTGTGTTGTCAAATAAGTGAAACTCTCTGGTTGATCCAAAGACACGTGTGAAAAGGGCTCTGATGGCCTCTGAGGCCGGCACAAACACAGGTGTCAGAACTGGTGATCGGCCCGGATGTGGCACTGGTACCACCGCGAAAGAAAACCGCCGCTAGTGGTTGGCTCCGGTCATTCTGTGTCGGTGAGCCGCCTGGCCTCCACTTGGATGGAGGGACTCGAGGAACCCAACTGGGTGGGTGTGTCGTTCTGACCCTGCGATGGGTCTGCCTTTTCTGGCTCTTGAGCTTTGAAGTCCATGCAGCAAATCATCACGCAGAAAATCAGCACATTCACCACCAGCAAAGCCGAAAAACTCGCGACTTCATGCGTAGGGGCATAACCACATGAGGTTTCGGCTATACTCCATGCAATCGCACCGCACAGGACCATTTCCAGGTAGCGCAGTGGAAACATTCCGTAGACCCACAGCTTCTTCCGTTCCAGCGGAACGTCGCACAAATCCGGCCTGTCCAGGAACACCGCTGGGCGGAGCCTGTATCCTAGAGTCATGAAGGGCACCAGCTGTCCTCCCAAGACACCGAAGAGGAGACCCTCAAAGAGCGCATTGAGTCCGCCGGTGGATTTCGGGAGGAGAACGAACCCCAGGAAGGCGAAGGTCAGCATGAACACGATCCCCAAGGGCCTGGCTGCGGGCGACAACACCATCGCATAGGCCGAGGCCCGCAAGAGCTGGTCTGTCGTAAGAAACAAACCTATAACAACTCTTTGCACAAGACCAACCTTCATGTCTGTTGCCAAGGATTTGGCAATGCCGTGCGCCAGCGATATGGCTGAAACCACAGTCGAAAGCACTTTGAATCCATCCCCATGTGCCCCTACCGCAAAGAGCACGTAGCTCTGCAGGTAGAGCTGGGGAGTGCATTCCGAGAGCTTCGTCATCAGGTCTCGGGCATTCATCTGCACGGACTCACTGGATAACTCTGCATCTGCTTCAGCATGGGTCGTCAGCGCATGCCACACATCGTTCAGGTGGCTTAGCTGAGAGAGACCAAGGCAGCAACGGGCAAAAGACCCATCATTGTCAGTACCAAACGCATAACAACCAGCTGATAAGCACGTTGAGAGAAGGAGAATCGTTAGACTCAGGCCAAACCACACCGGGTGGGGCTCACATGTCGTGACCGTGCCGGTGCTCTTGCTACGAACGTTCCTGATGCTGGTCATATCCAAATCGCAAGAAGTGATCAACTCATTGTTCAGAATGCAACCATACTCTAGCATCACAATCACCTCACGGTCCACACGTTCTCGGTCCGAAGATCGAGACATGAAGCTTCCAAAGGTATTCCGAAAGAACCTTCAAGTACATACTGACTCAGCTAGTTTAATGATCAGGCCCGCACCACCGAGACGGAACAACCCTCATGCTTACACACAAACAGGGAGAATGAGGAAAACACCTTCTCAATGACACAGCATGCCACCCCAAGGAATCCGAGACACGTCCATTGCAAGATCGGTGTAGTTCAACACCATCGAGAACAAACGCTCCCCCAGACGCAGGGTCCAGGGATACTCATTCTTCAGGCCTTTCGCCGTCTCCTCAGCACTGCTCTTCAGCTTCCCCACTTTCTCCTCAACATTACTCTTCAGACTTCTCAGCTTCTCCATGACTCCAACTAGACTTCAGGGTGTGCCCAAGCCGTTCCAAGAAAACTGGTACCCAACGCTTCAATGCTCAAATGGAATCTCATCGGCATGTTGAGGGCGTGAAGGGTCTGATTATGTGAAATGAATCATGCAGCCTGCCTCAACATGCTCAACACGAGAGTCACAAAATGCTCTGGCAATGACAGTCATTGTATGTATATGATATAAGTATGTTCTTGTTGGAACTGGCTGGGCACACCCTGAGTTTCTAACAAGCTCACAGAGGGGGGATTCCTTAGGAATCTTGATCCACAAGCTGGTTGATTCACATTCTATCATCGAAGCCGCAAGACCTGCAAGACCTAGTCTGCGAAGTGAAAGTCATCCTCACCGGAGAAAAGAAGTCGGTTGACTTGCAGAAACACAACATCTGCGCAACCGCAAATAGCTGACAAGGCTGAAAAGTCATCTCCTAGGACAGTTTTCGGCCACGTCCAACAAAACTGGTTCAATGAGATTCAATGAGGAAGTCTGATGCAGGAAGAGTGTTGAAAAGGGAATGCTGAAAGAAACACCACCAGCACCACCACCACCACCTGCTACTATACTACTACCACCACTACTATTACTACTCCTCCCGGTTTCCACCCGACCGAAGCGAAACGAAGGTAGGACAATCGGCGGAGCGACCAGCTTCGCCTTGGCAGGCGGCGCTCCGCGCTGACCGGCGCGACCGGCTTCGCAGCGCTTGGGGTGTCTCTTCGGCCTTGGTGCTTCTGTGTGAGGAAGGACGGGCCGTCGGGTGGCTACTTCTCCCACAGAGAAAAGAACAGGGTATCTATGGGTCGGGTATTTGCGGGTATACTTTTTGACGGGTCACACACGAAAGACTCTGTGAGTCTCCATATATGCGGTGGTGTGGGAAACGTGCGATCAGTACGTGGACCCGTCTGGGTATCAGAACCTTGTCGCGGTCTAGCACCATAATTAAGCCAATATTGGTTTCGACTCCAGAGTTGGTGAAGCAGTGGCCGATGAATGAATATGTGGATAAACATATATAACAAATAGTAAAATCAAAAAATACAGTAAAGTTCAAATAACAAAAACCAAAGCTAAGTACTGTAACCCTAGGCCCTAGATCCAAATTTGGCCCACGTAGTTCTCAGGGGAAACAAACAGAAAAGAACGGTCACACCAAGGATCCAAGGCTCTTCACTGATCTTAGTTGAGGTCCATGGACCTTGACCACATGATCTCCAGCCAGCAGTCTGGTTAGTTCTTAAAACAGCCATCTATGGTGGAGAGCCTGTTCAGTGGAGGATTGAAGTGAGAAGAGGTACCAGTTCACAAGTCGATGTCCCAGCGGCCATGGCCACGGGCTTTATGGGGCTACCAACCCACCGGACCCTGAAACCGACACACCGACACTCCTGCGAAAATGCCGTGGGTGGTTCGCCAAGATCGTCAGATGACACATCAGAGTCCCGGAATGCTAGGTCCAAAGCAAAAAAGCAGTTCAGAACCTAGGTTAAACCTCCTGAACTAACGAGTAACTGAACATGTTCTGCAATTGATTTGGATCATGGGCAATTGGACCTTCAGAGTTGGCCTAGTAATATGTAGAATCGTACACTTTGAGTTACCAAGGCATCTGCATCTATCATCTATCCACCGACCAATGACCCCACCAAGGCTGCGGCATTCTTTGCCGTGCCGGTCACTTCATTCAGCGACTAAGTCGCCCCGAACAACCCAGAAACAGTAGTTCCGGCAGAACTGTGACAACTACCATGTACACAACACATAATTGATGAAACATGCCGTGGTGATTAAACATGATCGGGATCAAGATCGAATGGGGTTTCTTGTTCCAATTCGCAGAAAACTGCACACCGAGGAAACTGACTGGCTGAACTTGAGTTTCGAACATACAGGTTTACGACCTTTTTTCTTATCACCCGGGGTAGTGCCACGAACCATGCAGCGTCTCAGCTTCACAGAAGGTCGGGCAATTTGCCTGGGACACCTGTATCTTCCAAGCGGCCGCGCGTAGATGCCAGCGAGATAGCAAACCTCAAGGAAACCAAATGACGGAGATTCTTCCGAAGGGACCTATAGGTTTTCACTACATGATGAATCGATGAGAAATTCAAACAGCTAAACCAAACGAATCAATCTGTCCAATATGTCTTTGATGCTAGGGGATCTACAACTGGGATTGGGGAATGAACGGAATCGCAGTGACCGTCACGCGACCCGCAGTCCGAAGGTTGGTATGAAGCCAACACGATGGCAATGATGGATGTTTGACAGGAGCGGTCTGGAATGCTTCAAGAGTGCATGAAACGCATGACGTCACCAAATGCAGCCACGATGCGACCCATGTGCCATTAGCAGATAAGGTAGGCTTGCCACCTGAGAAAAAATACCACTCCTCAAACAATAGAAACACCGATGTATGCTCGACTCGATGCTGCTAGCTCTCAAGGTTGTTTGACTCTCCTTTGGAACAAATGGAACAACTATGAGCAAGCCATCCACATCATTTCATACTCTCAATCCGCATGATTCCGAAGAAGCACGCCTTGAAGCCTTTGGCTTCGGCCTCCGTACATTAAAATGTTGAAAATTATTGAAATCATTATTCAGTGTCAGGCAAACCATTGTAATAACGCCAGGCCTTTGCAAGTTCATCTGCTATGTGTTCAGCAGGTTGTTCAATTTCGTCTTTCCAACTGTTGATGCGGCGAAGAATGGTTGGAAGTGAGAAGACATACTCATTTTGAATGCGCCCTTCCTTGGAATTGGGAGGCTGCGGCGGATACATGTTGCCATACTGCACAGAGATGATTGGCAGTTTTTTGTCGCAGGCGTATTTCAGCTCTTGAAATGTCCCATAACCAGCGGTTTTGGCTCCATAGTACTCCGTGCAGAAAGCCACCATCATTTTGGCTTCGTGAAGCTTTTTCATCGTCTGCATGAACGGCATGAAGATCTGCCCAGGGCCTACGCCGCCCACAGCCACTTCTGTTGGCACACCTCTGTCCTTAAGAGAAGCTTTGATAGTCTTCAAGGAGTTCATGAACTCTTCACTTTTGAAGTTGGCTGAGAGTAACAAGTGCCGTCGATTGCCACTTCCAGCACCTGCAAACTCAGAAATAGTTCTTTGAATGGAAGGAGCCAACGAGGAGCAAAGCCATCTATAACACTGTACAGCACGCTCTGCACAAGGCTCTGTGCGGACACCGGCAAAAACATAGAGGGAATTTTGCGATTTTTCCGACTGCACGCTGCTCGATGACAATCGCACTTCCATATAGCGCTCCGAAAAAGTTGCTGGTATTTCTTTCCAGTGACTCCTCGACGGACTGTCGGTGTTCGAGCAAAATGCTACGTTTGCACCAGCTTCAATGGGAATAAGCAATGTAGACACTGTAGGCTTGTCCAGCAACGCATCTTGCGTCACTTTGAAGACATTGCTGCAGAGCGTCTGGGCCTTCGGAAGCTGGACACCATATGTGTCCGGAACTTCTTTATCCAGGTGTTTGGCAATTTCCACCTGCGGGCTTTGCTCTGATGCCAGCACCAAAACACCGCAGTCATTGTCTACCTTTGCTTCCACACTCATCATCTTGACTGAATCTGCACACATCTCGCGAAGTTGAGTCGAAGCATCTGAATCATGCATTTTGAGCTTCTGAGGCAGGTCTGCTGCGTTGGCCAAGTCCTCAGGCGAGAGCTCGCCCAATTTTTCACACACAGTCTTTACCACGGGAACAGGACTGTCAGCGATCTCAAGCACCTTCTGCAGCTCTGACGAATGCTTGGCCACGTCACCAGGAGAAAACTGTTCTAACGAGTCACGAGCTATCGATTGAAGTGTTTCATCTGAGCAATTCAGCATCTTCAGCACATCTGAGGTACGACTGGCCAATTCGCAAGCGGAAACCTTGCGCAGGGCATCCTGAGCTGCAGTACGGACCAACGAATCTTTGTCTTCGAGCATCTTCAGCAGAGCAGATGAATGCGTGGCCAACTCGTCAGGAGGAAGCTTGCCCAAAGCTTCACAAGCTGCACTACGAACCAATGAATCTTTGTCTTCCAGCATCTTCAACAGAGCTGATGAATGCTTGGCCAACTCGTCAGCAGTAAGCTTGCCCAAAACACAACTAACTGCCCAGCGAACCGATGCATCCTTGTCTTTCAGCATCTTCAGCAGACCTTTGGAACACCTGGCCAACTCGTCAGGAGGAAGCTTGCAAAAAACAAAGCAAACTGCCCAGCGGACTGAAAAGTCTTCGTCTAAGGGGATCTTAAGATTTAGCAAATCCGATGAATGCTTGGCCAACTCGTCAGGAGGAAGGTTCCCCAAAGCTTTACAAGCTTGTTTGCGAGCGAATGAATCTTTGTCTTCCAGCATCTTCAGGAGAGCTGAAATGTCTTCAGGCAAGGCATTATGAGAGGGCTGCCCTGACATTTCACGATGCTCTGTGGGATCCGAACCATCTGAGCTTTCCATCGAGGCCTTCGGACTGGATGGTCGAACATTGAATCTCAGCTGACTCGACGAATCTTTTGCGGTGGGTGTTTAGCATTCCGCTGATGGGTCGACTCAATTCATTGGAGGAAAATAAATGTCACTTCTGGCCAAAAGAGTGTGAAGAAGTTGAACAAGTTGCAAAATGAGCATGTGCATCTCGTCAGGCGGACTCGACTGAACCTTGAAGCCACTGACTGATCTGTATATGTAAAGTATAGATATATGATATATGTCCTGTGTGTGTTGCACGCGTCTGACTTGAGCAACCGGATGAGTTACACAGCAAACATCAAGCAAATCGTCATCACAATCACCACAAAGGCTAATGACTTGCCAAGTTTGCGAGCACTGACTCAAGCTGAGGTTGAAGGGTGTGAAGTCAATATGCAGGGATGTGGGAAGCAACATCCTATATCAACATTCCTATACCATATAAATCTATAGAGAGAGAGAGAGCCAGCGTGGACGTTGAGCAATGTTTAGAGACACAGGTTTGTCCGCTGATGTATCAAACTCGCTATGGTGTATGCCATTTAGTCCTTGACCTCACAAGCCTACACGTTGCAAGTATGAGGAGGTGAGCAGTGAGCAGCCTTGGATGAAAACAAAGCCAAGCAGCCTCAAAAACAGCAGCTTCGGCAGCGATCAGCAGGGAATACAGGCTGCGCAGGGCTGTGCGATACAGGAGCAATCAGCATGGAAGACGGGCTGGGGGACAGTGCAGCACTCAAACCTTCATAGAAGGCACACAATTGCGGTATATTGCGTTTATATATATGGACTTGTTTTTGGAAAACAAGAAATCCTTAGGCGTGCAAGTGTCTCAAAAACAAGCAAACAGCAGAAAAGAAAAGCAGACCAATGGATTGGATCTGCAAGCCTGCTCACGGTCTTGAAAATGCAAATTGATATGCTAGGATCGTCTTTCCGTGACTTCTTATTTATCCTCAAGTGTCATCTTCACACCTCCTTCAGTCAACACCCATGCACTAAACACTAATCATTGTTGGCTCGCAGTGGGAATGACTTCAATTCGTGTTTGGAAAACACTCTCGGGCATCGGACAAACAGGCGATGTCATAGAGGTGAACCTCCTCCTGGCGTGTCGCAGCAAGTCAATACTGTACATCACTCTTCAGATGAATCAACTGTGCATAGAAACCAATCCCAACCAGGCCCCCCTAGATAAACCATAGCCTTTCTAAGAGCAGTTTTGGATTGTTGGAAGAAGGGGAGATGAACATGTTGGGCAGTTGGATCCACTGAAATGACATGCTTGTAACTTCGCGAATAGATCAGTCGCAAGCAAACGCAAAACATTGCACCGGCACATATCGGCACTATGACAATATAACCATAGCTGAACCACGCCGCCCCAAACGCAAACCCACCACCCAAAAACATTGGCATGGAATGACCGACCTGTAATCATTGCACACGTTCAACAAACATCCGTCCGAGTCAAGTTCCCTTGTCACGAATTCCCTAAGCAACAAAAGCAAGAACACATGTGTGGTGCTCACCATTTCACCCCCGACAAGAGTGCTTACAACCTCTTGCGCTGCACCTCTTGTACCTCATGTCCCAACAGCGGGCCGTCACCGGTGTCGACAAAACTGTCCTCGTGGGCTGTAAAAGAGGACACAAAGTTCTCCAGGACGCACCAAATCCTGCATATCCGATCCAGCCGAGAAGTATGAACCCAAAGTCTGGACAGACTGGTCTGCCCGCATACGTCCTCCTCTAATACGTCGAAGAGGAGCGGCGTACTCATGGCGATGGGCCAAACTTTCCTCCTTCCATCACCTTCAGCTCCTGCGGAATGTGAGGTGTGCCATCGTTTGCTGTTTCTTCCATTATGATCTTCCGCAAACCACACAACCACGTTCAAGCTGTTTTGGGACAAACATGGCATCAGTATCTGTTTGTTTCTTAAAATGTCAAAACATCATCAGTGACTTGAGCGCCCTATTCAAAGTTGATATAGACAAGAGCCCAGAAAGTGGATTCCATGTTTGCCGAAGGGATGTCTTTGTTGTTATGTGTGTGTGTGATGAAACAAACTGTAGTATGTAGAAGAAAACAGAAGAAAACCGACAACTTGCCTTGCTCTTGTCCTGCCTAAACACTTGGGAAATAGCACCTGAAGATTGCCACATCTTGTTACATTGCCATTGCACTTGGTAGTTGCGGAAGAATCCAAAGCCAAACTGCCAAACATCATGAAGAGGTGAGTGAAGAGAGTGTTTTCACAATAAGTTTGTAAACAGGTGCTGGGCCGTGCCTTTGTGATCAATGTGAGCTGGTTGCAGGGCTTAAATGGTACAAGCTGGTCCCCCACATTTTTATATAACCCAGGACTTCAGAGTGCACAAGCGAAAGAACAAATCAAGCATTGTTTCACCAGTATTGCATGGTATTGCCACTGGTATTGCCACTTAAACTTAATCCTTGCATTGAAAGCTTGGCGCCTCCGCCAGGGTCAAGGCGCCACATCAAGCAGAACCGAAGGCAAGGTCTTACAGTCGAAAAACGCAATTATGCTGCAAAGTGGCCGTTTCGGAAAATGTCAACATGAGACTCATATCCAAATGATGTGTCTCGTGGATATGGATACAATGACTCATATTGACCTTCAAGGGTAATACCATATCCGGTGATGTCTATGACTGAGCCGGTCAGTGTTGGCGTTGCAAACCATAATCGTTGGAGAAAGCATTCCCAAAAGTGGCCGCCCATGACCACACCTGAATCCAACAATAAACGACCTATCAAAAAAATACTCAGTGTGCTCTTCCATCATTTGATTTATGATTCTCTCAACAAATCCTCCAAAGTACTGGCAGTCCCGATGATTCCATCTCCCCACAAGGTTCCCCTTAAATCAAGGTCATTGGTTTCTTCCATCTGGTCTTCTATGTCCAGATATCCTGGCCCGAAACTATCCGCGGCAGGAATGTGGAAGGACCCCGATCTCCTTGCACGCGAAGAGATTCCATGGCTCTCGGTCCGCTTCCAACAGCGCAGATTGCGTCGTCCCGTCCGCGATGGGTGGTTGATGGCTGCAAGCTGGCGACGTTTGGGGAGACGTATTTATTCGAGATGCCACGTGTGAGGCATACATTCAGCTTGACTGGACATGTTTTAAGGGAATGCTGTTGACCATGGTTCTGGTGGTGGAGAAACACTTGTCCACAATCAACAGAAAGAACTTTCAAGTAGCCAAGGAGGCACATGGTGTTGATGAAAGCCGCCTGTCCTAACATCTCCTAACCATACTCTTGGATCTGTTCCAGTTTTGGAAGTGCAGTGCGCCAGGCTGCTGCTGATCGGGGCCAAAAGCAACCAGTGGCTTACTTTTTGTGTACAGTATTGAGCCAGTATTGACCAAGAAGCATCTATCTCGTGTGCCTAATTATCCATTTAGTAAAATTCAGAGTTCTGTGGATCTGTTCATCCGAACGAAGCAAAGATCTCTGCGATGCACATACAAGTGTCATTCATTCATTCATTAATTAATTCATTCATTCATCTGAGTCCAGAGGCCCCCCCAAAAACGAACTGATGCACTGAATGCTTAAACTACACTACACATATCTAAAAATGAATTGTCAACATCTCTCTTTGGCTGTGCTCCAACTCCGGGTCTTCCAACATCTACACATGCCGTGCACTGCAGATCCTTTCATTCTCATTGCTCCAAGAGCTCATAGGCTCCCATGAGGCCAATCTGCTGTGTCACCTGAAGACAAGAAAGAATCCTTTCATTGCGATCAGCACGACGGGTGATCCGGCATTTTGCGGTAGTATACCTTGCATTTCTTGCAAAGGGAGGGGATTATCAAAAGCCACAAAAGGCCAAACAGCTTTTGAGCATCGTACTCCTTTAAAGCGTGTGTTCTACCCAAGTACTTGTTTACCAAACCTGACAGAGGCAAACAGCGGTCTTGCAACCAGCCTGTAGATCATTCCTACAGTACATCTTCACTGGTAAAAGGTAAAAATGACGCTCTTTCAAATCCATCAGTCCATTCTCTCTTCAAAAAAAACACGTTTCTCTGCGAGTGGCATTCGCACTTGCAGCAGCAAAGCTCGCCTTGGCCTTCGCCTTGGCCTTCCCCTTCGGGGGAGCCTTGGGCACCAGCGGGGCGGAGCTTCCCGCGGCCGCCGTTGGCGCCGCGGACACCGGCGCAGCGACTTCGGCGCCAGCGTCTTGCAGGAGCTTGGTGACCTTCTTACCTGAGTGGCGTGGCTTGGCGCACCTCAAGACGTTTAGGTGAAAGTCCTGGTAGTCCGGGCCCCAACCAGCCATAACCAGCCACACCCGACCATCATTGCGGACTCCGGAAAGCCAAGTCCGCTTGCTTGGACACGCTGGACACGTGCATCCATGTGGCCCTTCACCAGCGACAGTGGTCGTTGGCCCTGCGCCGTCTCCAGGTTCGGATCTGCCTGGATTCCAAAAACAAGGAGGAAATCATGGACATGCAGGATTTGGGATTTGTCAAACAAACATCATCTACTAAAGGATCATGATCATTCGCTTGAATAGACCCGGACTAAAGGATCATGATCATTCGCTTGAATAGACCCGGATCGCAACAAATACTCTACTGGTTTGTATTTTCCATCCGCATTGGTGAGGCCAATGTAGGTCTTAGGGGTTCGTATCTCCATCTCGATCCTCCCAGTATTTCAGTGGAACCCCATGACAAATATCTAGTAGGCAACGCAACAAGACATATCCCAAAGGAGGATCGATTTTCCCACGAACATCGAAGTCCCTTTTTACTTTGTTTTTGACTGCGGGAATGTTGGGAAGTGAAAGGGAAATGAAAGAGAAATCATGCAAAACAAGGATTCTCCGTGTTTTCCCTTACAGTTTCTCTGGGATTGTTTTGAAACACCTTCTATCTGCCTGGTTTCCCTACCATGTCACTGGGTATGGCAAAGAACTACTTTTACACCTTCCAACTGGTTGATGTTTCAAACCAATCGCTTCTGGGAATGTTCTCACTGAGACCTGCAGCCCTTCGGAGTCTCAAACGTGTCAATCAGGTCAATAACTGATTTGCTGAAGCGCACTTGTTGTGGAGGGAAGCAACGACTCTCTTTCTTGCAAGTTTGTCTACAGTTCAACAGGCCTCCTTCAAAAGGATGTCTTTCCTGTGTGCAAAATTTAATAACGAAGTGTGCCCAGATTTGACAATGTATAGTCCTTGGTGTCGAGCGGCTCTCACCCGGATCTGAAGGTCTTCTACATTTGCCACTTAAACAAGTTGAATTCTTTCCCTACACCTTCGATCCGCAAATTCTCTCATCCAACCATGCCTTGTGCTCCAATAGGACCTTCACAACATCAGCTTTATCCAGTTGCACTGCCAAATGCAAGGCGGCTGCTCCTTTGCAGCTAATCCATTCGACTGCTGTGTTCAGCCAAAAAACAAAAGGTTTTGATACGTTGTATCTTCCCACAGGAGGGAAACAAGTGAGTTTGCTTGGTCTGTGCAAGACATGGAATCAACATGTGCATGCAATCATGTGACCTCCAGCAACACCACATTGGTTCAAGCGTCAGTGATTTGACACGTGATACTGTAGGCTCAACAAAAATGTCAAATGCCTCATATGGGCATGGCTCATTACATCTCTTGACAATTGCCATCGTCCCGGATTGCTCCTTTGGTCGTCAATTGCTGTGGATCCGCCCGCGCTTCCAGGAGCAAGGTGAGCTCCTAAGAGGACTGTTTGCAGGAAGGTCCTTTTCATTACCCGTACGCCCAACCAACATGGACATTCAATTCCTCCATATTCTCGACAGTTCAAACATGTAAATCATGTATATAATCACATAGATACGACAACATCCCCCCCAAAGCACCCGACGCTCCCGGTGACAATCAACAAAACATGCAGTGAAGCAGCTTTCTGGGCGTCCCATCCTAGTTCATCAACTCATTTGGGGGACCATGGCTGGGCTGTTTAGCCACCCCTGGACTGGGAAAGGACCTTTCCATGTCTACAAGTTTGTCCAAATACACAATCAAGCAAGTTATATATATATATATGGGGTGCAATAAATGTCACATACACACTGGACTGGGACCGGGGCTGGGCCAACCCTGTATTAAAGCACACTCTTAATGCCTTAAACCAAATTCAGCGACGAAACGCTGGTGATTAGAATTTCAATTATACTGATAACAAATGGCCATTTCCAAAAGTTGATCCTGGTCCTCCCAACATCGTTGTCGTCCGGTCTTTCCCGCCTCAATCTTCCCGTTCTGCACAGCCATGAAACTCGGCGTCACCCCATCCTCCCTTCGCGCCAGATCTGGGCTCGCCCTGGCAGACAGGAGATCCTTCCTCAGATGGGAGAGTGAAGGAAAAGTCAGGAAGGCTTGGGCAGTTTCAGGAAGGCTCATCCACAGCCCATCTGCCCATTCAACGCCCCTCCTCCGGTCCCAAGCATCAAGGCATCGGTGCTCCCAAACTGCGTTGCGATGAAGACCTCGAAAGACCGGCGGCTTTTTGAGAGGTGTCAGATTCTGAGAGGGCCCATGAGTGCAAGGAGCCATAAGGACACAATGGGAAAGTCAAAATCTGCACTGGTTTCTTGAATGGCTGCCTGAAGATACAGCAACTGCCCTCTCTCAATTGATGCAACCTTTGAATAGTGTGTTGGTGTGGGGGTAGAGGCTAGACAGCTCATGGCTCATTATCTTAGCTTTTCAAGAGTTAAGAGTATGTTCCCTTGACTGTTGGTGATTGCCAGTCCGACTATACTTCCAGAAAGTAAAGCCCGATGCTACAAGTACAGGAACTAGCTGGGCTGTGTAGACGGGAATTGCGGTGAACTGGGAAGAGTTTGTAGATCCTGCAGTACAGTCCTATAATCAATCTATATTGCAAATGGTGGGCTGAATATCTTGTGGGGGCGTTACACCACCAGCTCTTTGTACCCACTGGCCTTGTGGCATATCATTCTACCAGAGTCATACATGGCAGGGTTGCAAAGCCACGGAGTGCCACTTGTCAAAAGGTTTTCACAGTGACCAACTGAAAAGAATGGAAGAGACCACGTCACGCGCCCTGTTGAGTGTTGAAACGCTCCTGCCATGTGGCGCTTCCAAGACCAAGACCAAGTGAGACGGTCCACGCTGCCCGGTCTCTGTTTGTTCACTCTTCATCAATCTATAGAACTCTGGATGCCATAAAAGGATAATGACTCAACAAATCTCTATATATATATATAATAATATACTGTATATATGTATCTCACTAATTAGATAATCGTATTTGATCGTATTTGTATTTATCTGCAGTTACTCAGCTAGTCTCCAGCACTCTTTCAAACGAAAGAGTTGCCACCGTGCTTGCCCTTGTCGAGGCACTGCCGTAGCGCCATCATGTTTTGCTTTGTCCACTTGCGCTCCAGCATCCAGCAACACTTTCAGGGCGTCGGTGTGGTTTTTCCTCGTGAGTTGCCAGTCTCTGGAACATATCTTGTTGGTGTATGCTCTTATCCTCCGCTGAGGCTTGGCAAGATCCAAAGTCTGATCACCACCTGTTCTATCAAAGTAAATCCAACCAAATCAAGTCAAATCTGGTCTGTTCAGGTTGCCACGTGGCACCTCCACACCTTTGCTTTATACATCCTTTCAAGAAACACCCCTCTACTGTAGGGTCTTTAGGGACCCCGTGCCCTCCAAGCCATCCGAAAACCTTGGCGCCGCAGCACATCGCAGCTGCATAGACTGGCCCCGCACCATCGCTGATGCCTTCGTCTTTGGCCTGTCAGCTTGGGGTGGTCAATTTGCGCATGGGGTATTTGAGAAACTTCGGATGGCATGTCCATGCTCCCAAAACACACCTCCCTCATCTGGGGTGGCTTGACGGGAAGATTTACCACCTCAACTCAGGGAATATAGGGAACGATTCCTCTATGGGATCTATGACTTTGCTCGGGCATTGCTGGCGTCCTCTGTTCAGACGCTGGATATTCAACACCGCAAGAAACCTAAGTCTTTCCCGACAGCTTCTTTTGGCTAATCCCTTTCATCACTGCTTATCATTCCGGAGTCGATGATTAATTACAGGAAAATCCAAACAAAGAAGAAAACAACACGCTCTTTCGTTTCAAAACAATGACCCGCTGCTGTTCAGTCATCCCCGAGAGTCGCCTCTGGGAACTCTGTCAGCAACTTGGAGAGTTCAGGGACTTCGTTGTGAAGGGCAGCCTTGTAGAGCGCCCCAGGCGCGAACATCTTACGCACCCGGGTGTTCCTCGGGATGGGAGTGCGAAGTGGTGGCTCCTGCCTGTCAAAATTTGCCAACTTTTGAACATGGTAATATTAGGTTGGAGGCTATTGCTTTAGTTTGGAGGCCGTTTCTAGTAGGTTGGAGGCCATTGCTTCTAGGTTGGAGGCCGTTTCTAGTAGGTTGG